TTATAACTTTGTCATCATCAGGTACAAAACCTTGTCGAAACGTTGTACATTTGCTGTTACGTTAAACTTATATTAAAGTTTTTTCTTCATTACCCATTCAAGCCGTCTCCAAGCATTATTAGTCTCAAAGTGGGTTCCTCGAATTCATATATTTATGTCTCCGCAGAGAGACGTACTGTTTTTATATTGTTTTTTCTTCTTCTTGTTCCAAACACTTTTCAGTCAGACGCCATTCCTTCATTTCTTGGATGATTTACATGAACTTGGTAGGGCTATACCTTGGTCCAATACACTAAAAAGTATTTTTCATTTAGGCCTTTTTACGGATTTAATAGGGCCAAAAGTCAAAGAACCCCAAAATGTATATTTTGGGCTCTTGTGCGGTTATATTTACAGCAATCAAGATAAAAATTGGCACAAATATAAATTTCCATGCACCCAACGCATTGACATATAAAGAAAAGATGGATTTGCTAATTTTGGGTCTTTTTAGTGGGTTAAAGCTCGCAAAAAAAGGATGATTTTGGGGTTTTTGGTTAATTAATGAGCCATATTTTGACTAATTTACATGGGATTTGGTACGAAGATACTTTTCCATAAGTCCCACACAATTACAAACGAAAATGGTGGATTTGCTTATTTGTAGTATTTATAGGAGGGTCAAGGTGCCACAGGAAGCATAATTTTATGGGATTTGACAATTACCCCGCCGTATTTCGGCCAATTTACGTGAGATTTGGTACAAAGATACTTTTTATAGGTCCCGTACATATACATACAAAAATGTGGGATATGCTCATTTTTGGTCATTTTAGGGGGGGGGGGGTCAAAAGATTAAATAAACCCATAATTTTAGGGGCTTTGGTCAACTAATTAGTCTTGTTTTGACCAATTTACATGGAATTTAGTACAAAGATACTCTTTGCAGGTCCCGAACAGAGATATAGACAATTTTGGAACATTGTCTTTTGGTCAATTTTTTAAAGAGGAAAGTACAGTTTGGTGTTTTCGTTAATTATTCGTGTGTATTTCAACGAACTTACATTGGATTTGGTAGAAAGATACTTTATTGCAGGTTACAAGCAGTGCTATAGACAGTTTTTTATTTTACTGTGTATTTCACGATTTTTCTGGTGTCAAAATTGTCCATGTTGAGACTAAATATCGGATACGTTTTGCATTCGCCCGCGAATGTTGGCTCCTTTAATTATAATTATTTTCTTTAGTTTTATCCTTTATATCCTTTGTGAGCCAGCCTAGTTTTTGTTATCTTGCTCAGGTCGTTGCATGTTCGATGAACAATATCAAGACTACAGCATTCCTAACAAGTATGGACGCACCTATTGGGAAAATGATAGGTAACTCATTGGAGATAGTCGAGGTTTTGGAATGTTTGAAAGGAAGCCGAACCTCAGTGGATATTCTAGAGCTTGTTGAAAGCCTTGGTTCGTATAAATGCATTTAGTGTTACTTGTTTTAATTAAATACTGTTTTAAAAGCTTGCTTGTACATACCTCTCAACTCTGGATCTTGAAAGTATCGACTAAAGACAGTACAATCAGTGTTGTTTCTGTTTAAAACATTTGAGTTCTAAACTGCTGAATGTTTTGTTAAAGCATTTCTAGTTTGAACACTTTTGGAAAAAAAGGGGTAACTATCATCACCATTTGGTATTTTTTGTAATGTCCACGACAAAGAAATATAAATAATTTGCTTCGTATTGGTGAAGATCTCTCAGTACAGTGACTACAGATAGAACATTTTTCACTGTAATCGTTCCTTGAGATAACAATCTTTCAGTTATGAGTGATAACTGTTTTTTTTTCCTTCATTACCCAAGTTTAAAATGTTTAGAATCGAAACAAATTATTTCATGGTCGTCGAACAAAACTAATTCATATATATATATTCATTTAATTATATTTTGAATCATTTCATGTCATAAGTTTTAAAGTTATGCTGTGTTTATCAACTAAGTAGAAAACAACAACTGAAGATTGAAACTGTCTTATAATTTATTTTCGAACATTTTGATCGTATTATCATCCTGAAGACATGTTTGAACCGGAATCTCCACATTTCTTTTTGGATATGAGGCTTTGTAAAATATCGAAAGGAATTCGTTTACGTGTACAGACACACCCTTAAAAGTATACATAAAAATCTTAAGATGTGTATATATAAAAAAAGTATCAACGAGTTTTTTTTTTGATCTAGTACATTTGATTTTTAATTAATGCCTTTGTGTTAAATTTTTAGGAGTAGAGCTCCTCCTACTGACAGGAAGAGCTGCATCGAAGAAAGAGGGCGAGGCAATGATTCGACAAGTCTTGGACGATGGTTCAGCTTTGGAAAAATTCCAGAAAATGATGGTTCTTCAAGGCGTTGCACCAGATCTTGCAAGAAAACTGTGCTCACATGATGTCGATCCACGAGAATTACTGCCTTCTACACGACATGTGACTCGACTTCACTATCAGGGTAGTCCAGGTAAAATGAAAATAATCACTCAGCCCATATAAATTATATATAAACTGTATGGATTAATAGTGTTGTTGATGAATTTTATAGGATTTTTATTAAACCATCTTTGATTTTTTGTAATAAATAAATATTGTTTCACACTTTTCTGACACTGTATCTAGCAGTACAGATGAAAAGTATACCATATTATTATGTAATAATTATCAATAATGGATTTTTGTGGCATAGCCTTTTATCAAATAAGCTAATCTATTAGTCATAATCCTAGCGGACGATTCTTAATGTGTTCCATTCACCTTTTCTCAACCAGATCGAACTTAAAACATCATAGCATCTAATTAAGTACAGAAGAAACGTATTTGCGTAGGTTTAACATGTAAAATTACATGTATATATATGTGTATATATTTTATTGTATAATGCTGGCGAATGTTTAACACATTTAACATGTTCCATATAATTTTGTTTGAATTATGTTGTATTTTGAGTGATATTACTCTGGCTTTTGGTTGGATTTGGACATACGAATTCAAAAATCTTCAACTTTTGTATGACATGTTTGCTTATGTGCATACTACTTAACAAATAATCTGAAAAATTAAACAGTTGCTTAAAATCATTTTGAAAGGTCAGTTTTTTAGAATAACGACCATCATCGTTTGACATTACAATGGCTACGTAATACTTTCCCTTAGATTTCTTTGTATATTCAGATTCTATCAACTTAGTCAGGTGGTCAATGTATCGGTCATTATAATGTTGATAATGAAGGTCATTCCTCCGAAATGTGGACCGTTTTATTTTTCAATTATAGCGATTTCTGTACACATCTTTGTATTATCATACTTTATCACTCTGTTGTTGTTAGTGAGAATAATTATAAAGTTTTTCCTTAGGGGACTTGTAGATCAGTCACCGACTAATAATGACTCTAAACGGTGTGAATGATCTAATTGACCTAAATCTCCTAAGCTGGTCGAACCTCGTGAGATATTATTGTTGGATTAACGGCAGACAATATCGTTAACCTAAATGAAGAAACAATGCATTCCAACCTTTAGTGGTAGATATATAAGAAAAGTATATCTAATTTGCCATACTTATGGCCAGGTTGAATTTTAGTTTAGTTCCAAGTAAGCAGCTTAGTCTGATCGGTTTGCTTGTTTGAAGTTAAGTATAAGGTTACACAATGGGCTATCTGTGCTCTGCCCACCACGGGTATCGAAACCCGGTTTCTAGCCTTGTAAGTCCGCAGATATACCGCTGTACCACTGGGGAGCAGTCTGGTTGGAAGCTGTTATTATTATTATTATTTAACAAGTGTGTTTTGCTTTAATATAAAGTATAAAATAATTATATTTATGCTAATATGTAGTTGCGAGGTATTATTAATTTTAACACACTTTCTTCCCTAAAGAAAGAACTGGAATCATCTCATCATATAGCATCTTATCTAAATATGGGTTGTAAGCTGTTAAAACAGCCTACATTATTTCTTATTTATATTACTGTCTCCCCTTTCCTTTGACACCTTTGTGTTTAGACAACCAATAGTGACTTTGTAGAACAGAAGAAATTATCCACCGTTACCTAATTCATATAACGAAATATCCTTTCTTAAAGTGCTGTCTACATAAACATACAGTATTCGAAAACTACGATATTATTGGCTAGATAATGTCTAAAGTAGGTAATAAGTATAAATTTGTTTGATCGTAGTGTCGTACTAATTACACTCGTTGTGTTAATTGAACTAAAGGTACAGGCTTTTGTGATTCAATTTAAAATTTATTTATTGTTTTCGTTGTTACGCACAAAGCTGCACTATGGGCTATCTGTGCTGTTCCCAACGCTGATTTTTAGTGTTATAAGTCCTCAGACTTGCCGCTGAACCACTTGGGGGAGGAGTCGAATAAAAGAAAAGAATTGCGTCCGTTGAGGAATCTTTGTTTTTACATAATAATAATAATTTATTCTCTTTTTTCCTCCTATATTTTTACTTATTTCATATTTTATTTGAGGAATTGCGTATAAATCGAAATTTAATATTATAATTTTAGTTTTCGAAAGAGATTTGTTTATTAAGCGCAAAGCTCCACAATGGACTATTTATGTTGTGCCCACCGTGTGGATGGCCCCGTAATAACGTTAGCGTTATGAGCATAGATATAAATAAATATTGTATAAATATATTGGCCAGTCATTACTTTCTGTCATTGAGGGGCATGTGTGCATGCGGCCGTCATTGCTATGTGTTGAAGTTTGAACTGGCAGACAATGTAAGATGGCTGAGAGTGACAGTCGTACGTCTAAGTCATTACCCGAAAGAACGAAGGGAACACAGTGCTATGCCATTAACTGTTACACATACTGTTACCAAGAGTCGAAGGCGGAAGGTGTTATATTCGACAAGTAACTAAAACCTTTTTTCTATAATATATTAACTTACAGCGTACGACATCGTCGTGGACATGGTGGCGACATAGAACCGGCGTGAATGTTTACATCTAGTTTCCAAGTATATATGCGAATCTTTTTTTGAAAGCATTTCACCTACACAAGTCGGCGTGACAGTTTGACAGCGTTTGATTTGAAATGCTGACAATATTAAGTACTCATATAAGTTGAAATAATCATCCATGACCAGTCAGGCTATACAGGGACGTCGCCAAAATATACACTGTCTACAATTCTGTGTACATTCACTTTTGATGTTATCACTGAGTGTCAAGGTAGAAGTTTATTAAATATATAACTTCGTCTAATGGATGAGAGAGGAAATTAGGGTTAATATGTATGGTTTAAGACAAGTCTAGTCTGATCAGTACGGTATGGCTTATTTGGGAAATAATTCAAACATAGGTCTAATACTGTCAATAGACTCATTCTCAGAATTACATGAGAGTTTAAATTTTTGCAGGTGGCCCCTTCAAGTCGAAAATCCTTGAGCTGTTAGTATCATTATGATGAATAATCAGTATGCAGTACATACAAGTGTCCCAAAATATTTGGTATTTCTTGAACAAAAATAACAACAACAACACATTAATATAACTGTGATATATGTGGAAGAGGGCTTATAAAAGAGTGAGCCTAGTTTTATTACAGTATATATGTACATGCCTTTCTGTTTTGTTACATTTAATTGTAATGAATGCGTGAAATATCAGTTAGGTGTATTAGATGTATAAATATTTTGCACATTGATGATTGTGTATTTGCATGTTCACATGAAAACAAAGTACTGAAGAAATGATTCTCACATAATATAGCAGAACTTAGCTAGCATATATAATTATGAATTGTAAATTTAATGGTGAAAATTGTTGATTATGTTATAGGTAAATATATTTCTGTAGTGTTCTTGAAACTAATCCACTGTAGTCTACTCTACTCAGTTGGAAAAGTCAGGCCTATGTCCTTGGTATTTCTCTACTTAATCATGTTTGTAAGATTTGTGAAATTACTCTGTGGCATACATTACCCACATTTTAGGTATTGAGGGAAAATTTGATTTATATTTTAATCTTTTGATTTGCTGTTATAAATGCTGGTAGACTAAAATTATACAAGTTGAAAAAGGACCGTTATAAATTGTATTGAAGTGTCCATGATGGTAAAATATACTGATCATGAAAATTTAGGTATGTACATGGAAGAGTAAGATGTACAGGTACTTACAGCAAATATTGGACATATATTATGGTATACAGATTAGACAACGTCAGACTAATGAAATGAATGTTATTATATTTTTTATCATAAATGTTCTTAATTATTTCCATCCACTTCAGTTAAGAACGTTAAATGTTTGGAGGTGCAGATATATAAATAACATTCTTCTCCACCCCCCACCCACGAGTAAAAGACATGGTGCGCCACCTCTTGTTCGTTAGCAACAATACTTGAGACATATTTTTCTATGACACATAATGAACACCGAGGAAAAAAGAACAGATTTTAATCTTAAGATTCCCCTCTGAGCTAAAATCCAATGGATTATTCATTTGACAGGTCAGATATGTGTGTTTTGTGAACGACTTTTGCACTAACTTATTAAAACACTTATTAAAATCAAATAACACAATTATCCAAACGTCTAATTTAGATGGAAACGGCCATAAGTTGTGAGGTGAGATCGCTTTGCCATTGTCAGTTCGACTGGCGGGTTTTGAAAGTTCAACACATAGCATTGACAGCCGCTTGAGCATGCCGAAAATCACGTGATTTCTAATCTAGTGTTATTTATATCTATGATTATGAGCCCTAAAGCTTACTGCTGAGCCACAGGGAAGCATCCAAAAAGTTTGTTTCAGAAAATCGCATTAAATTAATTTAGAATAACGATAGTTAATGTTCAGTCAGTTTCATTAATCGAGTATTTAATGTTTCCAATAAGATCCTTCTCCAAAAATAAATTTAGATACAGTTTGTACTTACAGATTGTTATTTCTTCAAAATCTGTTGAAGACCAACCGAGTAATCCAAGAAAATCATGCAAGGATCACTTTTATTCATTAAAATAAATCGGAGAGATTTGTAAATCTACGGCCCGGCATGGCCAGGTGGTTAGGGCGCTCGACACGCAATTGGAGGGTCCACCAAACATGCTCGCCCTTTCATTTGTGGGGGTCAATCCCACAATTCGTTGGTAAAAGAGTAGCCCAAGAGTTGGCGGTGGGTGGTGATGACTAGGTGCCTTCCCTCTAGTCTTACACTGCAAAATTAGGGACGGCTAGCTCAGATAGCTCTCGTGTAGCTTTGCGTGATATTCAAAACAAACAAACAATAGAAAATCTACAGTCATTGCTATCCATTTGATTTATCTTGCGCATGTATAGAAAATATATTAGCTGTTCATTTTTCCACTGACATCTTAAATATTCGACCAACAATTCGAATGTTTTTTCTTTTATTTATAATATGTCAGTTGACAGAAATAATCATATATTCCAGTGAAAAATAAAATAATTGGTTCCATTTTATCCCACTTTAGCTTGTTTGTTTTTTGAATTTCGCGCAAAGCTACACGAGGGCTATCTGCGCTAGCCGTCCCTAATTTAGCAGTGTAAGACTAGAGGGAGGGCAGCTAGTCATCACCACCCACCGCCAACTCTTGGGCTACTCTTTTACCAACCCCACTTTAGCCTAGAATTTGTAATTTCTTATTCTCAAAATTATTTATGGGTGTATTTTACGTTTTATGTTATTCCAATAATTTTTTTCTAATTATAAAGAGGATTTAAAAAATTTTATTAGTTTATGAAATGTAAAAAAATAAAGAAGTAATCAAATATACCTATCTTGTGGAGCCTGTTTCAATTATGCTGTTAAACTTGAAAGACTGTAGTAAAAAAGTGGGCAATATAAGTTTATACAGTAAAAAGTTTGATAATATAAGTTTATATTTGTACAGGATACATAGAAAATATAGAAGCTTTGAATTTGGCACAAGTTTGGAGGGAAGAGATGAACAGAGCTGAATGTTTTAACTATGGCGCAGGCGTAGAACTTTTGACCTGTATTGGAAGAAGAATAGAAAAAGGTAATTGTTACTTTGTATGTAGAAGAATACAAAATTAGTTTAGATGATTGAATAACTGTAAAACATTTGCAAAAACGTGATCAAATGTTGTTCAAAGAATTATTTTTTTCTTTTTTTTACTTTTTCTCTCAACAAATACACACTCGCACAAAGACATGCAAACACACACACATATACTAAAGTTGAGAGGAAATAGAGTAACCAAACACTTACAATTAGAAAATGTAACGGTTTTACCCTGAAAATATTTTTGATTTAGCATCTCGAAATGAGAGATTTTGAGTATGGAAAATATAACTCGATATTTTGAAGGAGATACAAGAGCTTCTCTAACTTTTGACTTCTTCTATTTTAGTTCGTTGTCGATAAATAGTGAAAATGTTTTTGCGTATGGAAACTGCTAAAGTAAGGTTACATATGTGTATTTCTACGTAGCATAAAAAATCATTCACAAATAAAATACTCATTTAATTGGCTGTCGTAGTTTCACAAATGACCAATAGATGGCAATAGGTAACTCTTCATTGTTTAATTTTTTCACTATTATTATCAATGAACTGTTTATGGATATATATAATTTTTCATGCTATGTCCACGAATTTGGTATACTAAAAAAGTGAGATATATTTATCTATATGTTTGAACTTTGCTCAATCCTTTTGATTTCAGAAGAAATGAAATTGCAGTCGTAATATAAATAAACAAATCGTAATAATTTTTCTCTCCATAATCTAGAGTATAAAAGAAATGGTAATTAATTTTAAAAGGAATTAAAACAGAAAATGAGAGAGAAAAAGACAGAAAATTGGCGACTTAAGTTGTATAGTTAATGAAATTTTGGTTTGATCACATAATGTGTTTTTGTTTTTTAGAAATTTTCACTTAAATTACCCTATCAGTTTCTTCCATTTTTGTTGTTGAACTTTTAAATACATCAGGTTCCTACTTATAACAATTGCTACACCAAACTTGAATGCAGTTTGACAGTTTTAAAAACTTGTTTTTGGATGTACATATCTTAGTGCTAATATTGGCGATCCATTCACTACAAACAGTAAGAACGAAGACAAATGTGGCTTAATTAAGTAATGATATCAATAAATTGACCCATAAAAGAGCACATTTTTGTGTTCTCTGTAGGAGAACCTTGGGCAGTCATTCACCACGACCAGGACTGTTTAAGTGAATCACAACTTTCACGACTTGAAGGTGCTCTACGAGTTTCTCCAGAAAAGGTTCTTCGATCTTCACGCATTATTGACGTAATGAAATCGGAAAAATTAAGTTCCAAAATGAAATAACGTCACATGTTTCTCGCACACTAAATAAATGAGTTAATTAGATCTAAAAAATCACCAAAGTATGTAGATGGTTAAATACTTAATAAGTTTTATAGAATGTACTTTTTCCGATATTTTACTCTTAAAAATATTGTTTGGTTTATGGTGAAATAAACAACGTATTCAAATTTTTTCCAGGAGTTTTATGTCACTACTTCTTTTGAATTCATATTTACTAGTGTTTTACTTGCAAAACATAATAGACTTAGCACCACAATTAGAACGCAACTTTTATTGAAGATGGCTGTGACATTCAAAATTCAGTTTTAGAATTTAACCTATTGAAACAGAACACGTATTATGAAAGTATTAAAATAGTTTACAAAATTCTAAAACTTTCTCAACGTATCGATCAAACTGGTCGATTTACAAATTTAAATTTTTTTTCTTATCTTTTCAGAAGTGATCACTGCTTGGTTCTATGCTTGTTGCGATGCCAGTTTGATCGTAAACAGTAGCTGCTTTTTAAAATATTGCATTCGCTGAGATTACATTAGAAGCGCCGTTGTTTATTGTTGAAAAGTAAAATTAGTGGGAAATTTGGGAAAAATTACTGCTCTTGATATTTGCTATTACACAGACCGAAGTTTAAACATTTGACAAGCGAAAAAATAAATGATTACCTTAGAAACTTGCTCGTATTTGTTTTTCCGAGCTCTAGTGAAGCTTTAAGTATAGAACAATACAATTTTGCATACATATCCCTTAGCATCTGAGGATGTATTTTTTATAAGATAAAGTCTACCCCAATCCACATCTTTTTTTATAAACCTAAATTCACTTCTGCAATATTACACCATCTCCAAGTGACATCTCCGACAAACGTAATATCAAATTAATAACAAATTATTATATATTTATTTTAATATCAACGTTTGTTTAGATTAAATTTATATTTAGCAACATACATAGCTTATACTGTTAACTGTGTATTGCGAAACACCCGCCTATTCTCCAAATTTGTAGAAGATTCTCGAGAGTAAGAATATATGTACATACGTAAACGCTTAAATGTAGCTTTGTATTGTTACGTAATCTGAACTTTCTAGAAAGCCTCCACATTATAAATATAACCAACGCGACGCGCCAGAAAGAGAGTATCTATTATTAGTTTTCTATAGTCAGTGTGCTATAAACTTCGGAAGCTATAACTATGATTGTTATAACGCTTATCAATTGGAAAACTTCAGACATTTAACCAGGAGCATATACAAAGTTCGAACATTATAAATCATTTAACTTCAGAGAATTATCATAGGATAATTAGCACTTTTACGAAAACACTATATAAATTCACCGTGAAAAACTCCACGTATGTGGCTGGTAAATAACGAAGGACAAAGCTATCTAGCTTTCCGTGAAGTGAATTATGCCTACGTCAACTCGTAATCATCTCGCTCATCGTGAACCCTCGATAAGATATCGAAGAAGTTCCAGACTAGAAAGAAGACTTTATATTGTTTGTAAGTTTGTGAAATTTTTGTTTATAAATCATTGTTTATAATAACTATTTGTAATAACTGTTATTGTAAATTGTATTGTTGTGTGTATATTAAAACGTATTTGTGTTAAAAAAGAAAACTGTGTGTATCAATCTTGTTGGCAAATGTCATAAACTGACTATATATCGGCTTTTACTTAACTGCTAAATCCAAAATACAATTTAACTCCTAAATTTAAAGTATCATTTAACTCAATTTCAGGGTATTTGAAATTCTAATACATAACACAGCTTATAGTGGGTAATTGGAAATGATTTTATATTGGAATAAGTACAACATTTCAACTACAAGTGCAGTGATTTTCAAGTACAAATTGAAACATAAAGCCGTATAACTACTAATGTACCAAAATTTCAGGTGTTTTTATTTTTTCCTTTATAAAATCACGATATGCTCAAGGCCTCTTTCTACGTTGAATTTTTTTCTCATTTATAATTTACGTCAATATATATACACAATTGTATAATGGTAAAAAGGATTAAGTTTTTATTTTTATTTTCTCCTGTTGTTTTTGTTCAACCATCTGGAGATAACACCATCAGGGTAATTAAAATGACTTAGTTCTTTCAAATTTTATTTGATTATCGGAACAAGATTATTGCATGACAAACTGAAATGTATAATTTTTTAAATTTAAAATAGCTACTGTAAAAATCCAAATACCTGTGTGAATTGGAATTTTTATGAAATTTACCAGTCTTGACATCTCCGTTATATTTACTAATATCACTCATTCTTTCTAAATAAATTGGGTTTTTACTCAGAAGGTGCCTAACTGATTAAATTTCTCAATGAAAGATATTTACAATTTACAGAAAATTAAATCATTTTACTAATTTTTATATAAGAAAACAATAACCAATAAAACGTTTTAATACTTTCTTAAGATAGTCAACATGCAGTTTCAAAATATTGTGGAAAAAATTGAATTTCGTTTTTCAAACTAACTCATAAGAAGCCACTTTAGTACCTCGTAACCGTCGTCGAAAACTGGTGAAAAACATAATCTTTGAAATGAAAATAACAATTTTTAAGGACTACATTCAAGCCCTGTAAAAAAACTTACTTTTCAAAAATTTACCATACATTCTTCACGTCATACTAATGTTTGACACTAGGATACAGATCTATCATATCTAGAGTAACTTAACTATCTCTTTCCCTCTTTTTGACAAATATGAATAAAACTTACGTCAATCTTAACATTACACTTTTGAAGCCAATGGGTTTAAGCAATATATTAAAAATGTTCTATGAGGGTCTGTGGTTTTTCTTTGTCATGCATACAATAAGAAATCTAGGAACGTGAGGGTTTTGATTGTTTAAGCAGACATTTTCTTAAGTTTGTAGGTATTCTTGTAAAAAATAGTTACGAAATTTAGAGAAAAAATGAAAATTTTCTGAATCACCATTAATCAAAATGTATTCAACTTTTTTAATATATGAAAAGTGATTTAAATACTCTTAAAGTTTAGATTTGATCAATTTGACAACAATGTCCTCTTTGGCCTGGTATGACCTGGTGGTTAGGGCCTCGACTCGTAATCTGAGGGTCGCGGATTCGAATTGGATCCCGTCACCGAACATGCTCGCCCGTTCAATCATGAGGGTGTTATAATGTTACGGTCAATTCTACTATTCGTTGATAAAGAGTTGGTGGTGTTGACTAGCTGTCTTCCCTCTATTCTATAACTTCAAAATTACGGACGGCTAGCGGAGATAGCCCTCGAGTAGCTTTGCGCAAAATTCAAAACAAACAAACGAACAATACCCTCTTTGTTTTCGCTAACTTTTTCATAAGCGCTAGGCTAATCTTAGTAATACTAAACTTCTCAATTATTTTACCTTCAAGACTCATTTTTTTTACGTTTTCGTTCTGAGGACCAAAATTAGACTCCAGTATCACAGATGTATCTTTATTTTATTATTATTACTGAAAGAACTCTAATTCTCAATTTGTTTTGATATATTCATAAAAATATTCACTAAGTTCGTTAAACTTATCTCATTATAAATCAATTCTCTACCATTTACATACAAAGTTTAATTGGATGGAATCTGGTTTTGGGTTCAGATGATAATATGTTCGTTGCTATGTCTGTCCCATTTATTTTCAAAGCGTTTCAATCCTACTTTTCCAGCAACAGTCTTCCTCCACTCATGTTCTTATTAAGTTGTGAAACTATGATTTTATTTTTGGTATCTGGGATTCTACTCTTATTGCTTTTCTCTCTATGTTCCATTATAGGACTAAATCCTTTCAGCTATATGTTTTATTTTTCATTCCTGTTCTCTCTAGTAACGGTCCGGCATGGCCAGGTGGCTAGGGTGCTCGACTCGCAATTTGAGGGTCGCGGGTACGAATCCTCGTCACACCAAACATGCTCGCCTTTTCAGCCGTGGAGGCGTCATAATGTGACAGTCAATCCCCC